ACCTCCTGAACCTAAAAATTTGAGACAATCTCATCCTGTACCCTTAAGGAAATCAACTAGAATCAGCAAGCCACCTATACAGACTACAGATTTTCATTGCCCTACACTTTCCTCTTCATCACAAGCTCACCTTGTGAAATATCCTATTTCAGGTAACATAGATTACACTCACATTTCACCCAAATATCAAGCCTGACTTAGCAAAATTTCTTCTTTAACTGAAACAGTTAGCTTTTCCTAAGCCTCCAAAGATCCAGAATGGGTAGAAACTATGTCAAAGAAAATAAAAGCTTTAAAGGACAATCATACCTGGTCATTGGTCACTTTGCCTCATGGTAAGACTCCAATTGGGTGTAAATGGGTGTACAAGTTGAAATTTAATGCTGATGGTACTTTTGACAGGTATAAGGCTAGGTTGGTGGCAAAAGGTTACACACAATAGACTGAAATTGATTATAAGGAAACATTTTCCCCTATTGTTAAAATGGTAACAGTAAGAACTATACTCTCTCTAGCTTCCGTTAATGATTGGCCCTTGTATCATCTTGATGTTGATAATGCCTTTCTACAAGGTGACTTAACTGAGGAGATTTTTATGTCTTTATCTCAAGGTTTTCATAAACCATTTGGATAGAATGTTGTTTGCAGACTTCACAAGTCTTTATATGGGCTCAAACACGCTTCCAAGGCCTGGAACTTTAAGATTACTACTGCTTTAATTAGAAGAGGATTTTCCAAATTGAAATCAGATTATTCTTTGTTTGTTAAGAGACATGGTAATCAAATTGTGGTGTATCTGGTCTATGTTGATGATATAGTCATCACTAGTAGTAATTCTGCCTTAATAGATAATGCCAAGCAGCTGCTTCACTCTAATTTTAACCTCAAAGATTTAGGGTTGCTCAAATATTTTCTTGGTCTAGAGGTGGCAGGGTCTACTAAAGGGATATCCATCTGTCAGTTTAAATATGCTTTAGAATTAATTTCTACTACTAGTTTATCATGTGCCAAACCTGCTATCATCCCTCTTGACCAACACATGAAGTTCACAATGGGTACATGTTACAAAATTCATGGTTTCCAGCTAATTACAAAGGAAGAATGGATCAAAGAACAAGTCAATAGCTAATCAAGTACATACACACCAGATGCACAACTACATCACTCTTATCTTGCCTTGATGAAACTAAATTGGATAATAGATTCGGGGCAACAGATCACTTGACCAGTAGATTGTCTAGCTTAAGCTCACCTGTTGACATGACCTCGTTTTAAGGTTTATTATTTTCATATGATACATTCCAGATTTTGTTGCTCATTATATCTTCCCATTCGCTCTCCCTTCGATGAGATAGCATGCAAGCCAGCAATATATAAAGAGAAGCAGAAAATCTGAAAAATCCTTTCTGTGCTCCAGCCATAAAAGGAGAAATGGAGGACTCCCAATTTACAATCTGTGCTACGGTTGTCATCTGAAACAAGTAAAAAATGTTATAGTGTCTTGTAAATAAAGGAATACTCTGATGTAATTACAGAGTACTCTGTTCTGCAATGTTTTTTTTGTGTTTTATTCTCTGCTTTCCTCTCTGCTTTTCTACAGAGTTTCAATTCTGTTTTGTAAACAAATTCATCTCTTCTTTTGTTTTCACGCATTAAAATTCAGAAACTAGAACCAACTATTGAAGATATATTCAACTCAGCATCTCATCTCACTTAGCTTAGCTTCTGCTTCCAGCTCATCGGTCCAATGTTGACTAGTAGTCAACAGAAATTTTAGCTGATTTAAGCTGGTTTTAGTGATGTAACAGAATGGGTTAATTGTAACTATAGTTAGCTGAAATTAGTTGATTTAGTTGAGTAAAGTTTACTAGAGTTAAAAGCTAAGAGTTTTACTTAAGAAGAATGCATTGTAATAATATTTCGACAGTGAATAAAATTTTCCTTTTTCACAAATTTCTCTCGACTGAAAATCTTTTCTGGTATCAGAGCACTAGGGTTTGGTCTTCTAGAAATGCTCATTTAGTTCGTCCATTATTGTTCGAGAAATGCTTGAATAGCTCGTCCATTCCTTTGATTCAACTGATTCAATTCATAATTAGTTTAAGTTTCAATCTATTCAGCAATTGGCTCTTGATCTGTTCGATTTTTGTTTCAGCTCTCGATCTTTTCAAAATTTTGCTCAGCTCAATTCTCAATTTGTTCGACAATCAGCTAAGTAAGCTCAGATTTATGTTTTACACGGTAATCGTATAAGATGATGAATTCCAGTTGTGAATCGACAATGAATCCTACAGATACGAACTCATCACTCTACATTCACTCATCGGATACTCCAGGGTCGGTACTGGTAATAGAACAACTCACAGGAGAACAATGATGGCATCTGGAGCAAGGCCATGACAGTCTCACTTACGGCTAAGAATAAGCTGGGTTTTGTCGATGACACATGCAAGAAACCATCTGATTCGAATTTAGGTGCACAATGGGAAAGATGCAATTCACTAGTCCTGGCTTGGATCTTCAACACAGTTTCAAAGGAGATCTTTAACGGAATTGTTTATTCCACCAGTGCATATCAGGTGTGGCAGGACCTACAGGAGCAGTACCATAAGGTGAATGGAACTAGAATTTATGGGATTCACTGGGAGATTGTTAATCTCACACAAGGTACTATGTCTATAGCCATTTATTATAACAAACTAAAAGCATTGTGAGATGAACTGAGCTCGTTAATTAGATTACCACCACCAAATAGTATATCAGCTAAGGCGTACCTTGAACATTAAGCCAACAGAGGTTGCTGCAATTTCTAATGGGGTTAAATGACACTTATTCCATGGTAAGAAGTCAAATCCTTCCGATGTCGCCATTGCCCTCAGTCAAGCAAGCATACTCTATTGTTAATCAAGATAAAAAGCCAAAGGATTCTATCGGGGGCTAATGTTGGTTCAGATGTGACCACTGCATTGTATGCGCAGAACACACAGAAGGGGCAAAATCACAATCCTAAATACAAAGGGAAAAAACCTTATATAGAGTGTGATTTATGTCATCCACNTAATTGGGTTAACGATAAATATCAATGCATAGGATTAAATTGGTGTGAAATCTATGCCCTAGGTTTAATCATATTGATTTCCTACTAAAGTGTTAATAAAAGTCTCTTTTTTTCATTTTTGTTTCTAAGTTGTTTTATTTTTCATTGAATCATTCTGAAAATCTGATTAATCAAATAGTAATAGGATAGTTTAATTGGTACTTGGTATTAGTAATTCCCTTGGGTTCGACATCCGTATTCTTACACTTTATTACTTGCACGATTTCGTACACTTGCGAAAATCAACAACAGCCATCGCTGTCGGGATCTAGCTAGAAAATGGCATTACGACATAGACCGGTCGGATCTGACGGGTAGGGCGTCAATATGGCCTTTTCCAACCAGATCCACCACAGATCTGGTCGAAAAAGGTCAGATCTATGACCAGATCTGGCCGTCGATGGCCGCAAAAGTCTAGATCTGGCCGTCAGTTGTCAGTCAACGATAGGCAAGATTTGGCCGTCGCTGAAGGCCAGATTGGTGAATTACCAACCAGTTCCAGTCATGGTGTAGGCCGTTGTGACAGATTCCGACTATCACCGACGGTGGTTGCCGGAATCTGGCGAGTATGGGTGGGTGGAGGTGTTTTTATTAACTTTTTAAACTTTTTTTCTATGGGCAATTAATGAAATTAATAAACATAAGTGGTCTAAAAATAATAAAAAAATATACTAATATTTCTCAAATAATGTGCCAAACAAGTATTTTGGGAATAGAATTAGGAATATGGATAGAAATAATATGCCAAACGCACCCTAAATTTTCCTATATTATGCTTACCTTAACACTGAGAAAACAAGAGTAGAATTTGAGAGAGAGATGGTAAGAGCGTGATGAGAGAGAGAATAAGAGAAATTATTGAGAGTTTGATAAGAGAGGTGGAGATATCCATGGAAAAAAAAATACCCTGTTGACACTTTTGAAAAAGGAAAAGAAAAAGTGATTGGCGCAGTGGAGAATAATAAAGGAATTCATTCTTTTAACCGTGGATGGTTTAGAAAAGATGGATTATAAAGCACAAGAAGCCTTAAACAACAAGGAAAGGACAAGCAAATTAAATATGAATAATACCAAATCATAAGAATGTTTTTAATACTCTATTAAATATGAATAATACCAAATCATAAGATGGATAATACCAAATCATAAGAATGTTTTTAATCTGATATTGGATTCCGTAATAAGATCCTCACAACTAAGCTTCATGGTATGCTTGCAATAGATACTAGTAAAATTAATTAGGTGTATGATTTGATTTTTATCCGATCAATATGCACCAAACCTCCTTCCAACCGATGGATGAACAAACTTGACAGGAATACAAGTTAGAAGTGCCCTCCCATTTTTATTATATTCAGCTGTCAAATTTCTAATGTAACAAGTTATTATATTCATTCAACTTAATCAGTATTTCCAGTGGAGAATTCGATCAACATATTAGAATCTGATAAATTAAAATTAAAACAACCCTTAAGAAAGACTAATATAATATCATCATAAAAATTAAAAAACCAATCTACATTCTTAATCCATTAACAAAAACAAGCAAACATATAATCGTCAAAGGGCTATCCAGTAAAAGTGAATGCATAGATGGAAATGAAAAAGGAAAACAGAGTCTTTTACATTTATTCAAAAAAAAGAAAAAAAGAAAAAAAGAAAAAAAGGAAGACAGTAGATAATCGTCAAAGGGCTATCCATAGGTATAGGACAGCATAGTGCATTCATGTGCCTCTGCTTTGAGGCAAGTTATTTCAAATAGCTGAGGAGATAAAATGTTATTTAGTAAGAAAGAGAGTATATTGAGATGAAAATTAAAAACATAAGTAGTTCCAGAAAATGACAACCTTGCCGCATTCGTTTAAAGCAGCCTGTGAAGTCAAATTCTTCTCCGCAATGCATCTTACATCCGTCTACCTCTGCGTCGCAATACGGTGAGAGGCTTGGGAACGAAACCTCTAATACCCCACATTCCTAAATTGTAAGTTTAAAACAAAGTAAAAAGTGAATTTCAGGTAGTTTTCGATGGAGTTTGGGGCATTTCACAAGGGATAGCTCACGCAAGCAAGGGAATATTTCAACATGCTCATTTTCTTCAACAGGATCCCAATTCTCCAATTCTTTCAAATCTTCAAAACAAAGAGTCTTCAGTGATTTAAAAGGACTTGAACAATCTTTTCCAAAAAGCTCAGAACCTATCCTTTTTATTCCTGTTATTCCCTTAATAGTAAGGTGTTCAAGCAAACCCAAGCATCCAAGTGAAGGCAAGACTCTACATCTTTCACATCTTTTCAATGTTAACACAACTATTTTTGAATATGTTGAATCTCCAAGCCAAGATGAAAATCTTGTGCCAGTGTAGCCTTTGATTGTGAGTTCTTTCAGATTTTGGTAAGGTTGGAGCGTGCCCAGTACATTTTCTTCCACTAACTCATCTCTTGTGTCATCCAACTGAAAGTCCCACTCTAGTACCAGCACTTTTAGAGCCTTCTTATCTTTTAATATGGAGTCCTTTGTATCTTGTGAACCAGTTGCATTCTGTAATCTTGAAACGTAAAGCTCACCAAGAAATTTTAAGTCCTCCAAATCTTTTAAATCAGATCCTACACCTTTGCCCACAATAAAATTCAATAATGTTCTAAGACATGTCAACTCTTTCATTCCCAATGGCATTTCTCTAAGTAAATTGACACCGGTAATATCAAGATACCATAAATTGATCAATTTCCTCAAATTGGAAGGCAACTCTACGAGATGAGAACAATCCCTTAATAGCAAAATTTGCAAGATGGGTAGCAAACATATTGAATCAGGTAACGTTCTGATCATAGTGCTGGAGAGGTTGACATATCTTAGATATCTCAAACCTTCAACTAAACTGGGTAACTTCGTAATACTATGTGTTGCCAAAGATAACGCCCTCAATCTTTCGGACTTTGGTAGCAAATCAGAAAGAAGCGCATCAGTAATGTGATGGTTATCATTATTACTTATGAGTCCAGGAACAAATGTTCGTAAGTTGTCAACATCATAGAATAACTTAAAGATATTTTTCTCATCAGACCGAGCGGAAGTATCAGAATGAGAGGTCTTCTTGAATTCTTCCCGTTGCTCATTGACCCCCAACACATCATCGGACCTGGAATATTCTGTTTCTCCATAAATCCATCGGGCCATAATTTTGACAAGGTCATGCATTCTATATTTAGAAGCGTGACTACTTGAATGCTGGAAAAGACATCTTTTCAATAGTTCTTGGAAAAACTTACCACCTATATCTTCAATTCGTTCATCCCCTTGCGCTTCTCCAATTAGACATTCTGCTATCCATAGAAGAACAAGCTCCTTTTCTTCGAATTCATAGTCGTCAGGTAAAATTGCACAATACATAAAGCATCTTTGTAAACATAAAGAAAAGAGAGTGGTAGCTTAACTTTAGCACGGGAAGAATCTCAATATCATCTGCTAACTCCCATATTTTAGTGTTCGCATTATATTCCCTTTCATCACCCTGCGTAGACTTTATAAGCCCACGAAGAATACTCGCTGCCAAGGGTAAGCCTTTACACATCTCAATAACTTTTTCACGGATTAATCTCGAACCATACATCTTGAGCATGGACCAGCAAGCTTCATCTGATAATACCTCTAATATAAAAGGTTGAGTACTGAGATTGACGTGGAATTCAAAATTTACACTGCCGGTGCTCCAGCCATAAACGAAGACTTTAGAGTTTCCCACAAACCATAATTCTCTGTCGAAACATCACCTAAGACAAACAAGAATTTCCTCCCAAAAATTGCTTCTTCCAGTTGAGCCAGCACTTCATCTAAATCCTTTAGACTGCAGGATTTAGAAGTGATTGACTCTAGAATGGCCTTGGAGATTCTGAAAACATTGGAATCTTCGTAGAGGGAAAGCCAGGCTCTTGGTTTGAAGTCTTCCACTGCCTTATCATCATACACAAGTCGAGTGAGTGTTGTTTTTCCAACTCCTTCTGTGCCAATGATGGGTATTACACTAAAGTTGGCATGATCACTTACTTCATCCCTTAACACCATTTCTAGTATTTTCTCTTTATCTTCGTCTCGCCCATAAATAGTTTCGGTTAGCGAGATTCCATTCATGGGTACTACTATAAATAGTACTCAGAGGCATTCATATTCTGGAAAAGAAATTGACAATTGTTCCAGCAAATGAGCAATAGGTGGTACTACTAACGGTGGTCATTCTTCTCTTTTACTACAAGCTTGCATTAGGAGAGAATTTAACAATCTCAACTGGTAATTCTGTCGCTACAAAGATTTCAAAAAATTAAACTTGTCCATGAATGTAGCTAGCAATGTTGGAAACAACATTTTGTTTAATTTTGAGGCAATGAACATGAAATTTTTGATGTAGCTTGCAGATTGTTTTACAATCAAACAACTATGCAGGACATCTCTGAGAGGTCCTTAGCACAAGGCAATGGCTTCAAGCTTGATCAGCAATATTCACAATCAGACACTATTCATTACTTCTATCAGTCCTTGGCCTAAGGTAATGCTTCAGCTCTGTTATTAGCCTGTATTTCATTGAGTAGAAACCAATATGAATTATACTCCATCCACATCTAGTAAGCTTCAAAAAATGACCAACATGTTGGACTACTGGGCCTCCAACTAGGTTTATGCTAGCTATCATGCTGATCTTCAGATCTTACACTTAGCTTCTCAAACTTCCTATATCTATGATCCAATCTGCAAGATGAAACAAGAAAACGTTTCAAATTTCTAGCACAAGTTATTAAATTCAACTTAGCCAAGCCCAAATGATATAACATAAAAGTACTAATCGCCATTACTTTAAAATAGCAATTTCAGTTGACAGTTCAACATATCAGCTTTGACGAGTCAAATTACCTCAGCATATCTGATACATTAAAAAGAAAATAAGTTAGCTGCATCCATGTGTGACATAATTAACACTCTGTTGTCATAAACATTTAAATGAGTCACTGTTAAAGTAGCTAATCTTCTAGGTGTTCGAAATTGACAGACCTGAAAAGAAATAGAGCTTATTCATCTTCATATGGACAGAAGACGAATTTTCGGTCCACCTCAACGCGAGGAATATGAGCTATCTTGGACCAGTCTTGCCCTTTGTTGCTCATACATTGTTTTTTCAGCAACGGACAAGCAGTAATTCGTAATTGCAAAAGTGAGGATGGCAGGCCAGCCTCTGGGAAGGATGCCAAGTTTGGACAATCTCTGATCTGCAAATGTTCGAGAGAGTCAAGGTGCTGAAAACCCTTTGAAGATAGGTATCTCAAATTCGGAAATTCTGCAATGATCAACCCAATCAGAGAGGAAGGCAGAATCATTTCTAGCTCCTCCTCTGGAAAGGATACTGCATCTGAACATCCAACAATCTCAAGCTCTCGAAGAAAGGCTAATCTGTGCAACCCCCACTCAACCAAAGGTTTATATATATTAAGATCTGAAATTATCAGTGATGTTAGATTTGTCGGAAAACCTTCTTCAGGAAAGGATTTGATCCTTGGACAATCCCGGATATGTAATTCCTGGAGAGAATAGAGGTTGTGCATGTGCTCAGGTAGAGCTTCAAATTTCTCACATCTGCTGACTTCGAAAACTCTTAAATTGGTACTCGGAAGCCCTCCATGAGGGAATGAAACAAGACTTGGACAATCCCAAATCTTAATCTCATGAAGACAACTAAGATTGCATAGGCCTTCAGGTAAGGATTGAAGATCTTTACATTTCACAATCTGCAGAGATCCAAGGGAAGCATTATTACAAAACATCTCTGCTATTGACTCCAACTTCAGACAGTTATTAATTCGAAGGCTTTCAAGAGCTCTTGGTAACTGCCCTTCCTGTGATAAGGTTCTCAGAATTGAGCAATCCCAAATCTCAAGGTGCTTGAGTGTAGCGGGTAACTGGCCTCTGGATGGCAAGGCTATCAGATTTGAGCACTTACTGACAATAAGGTGGGTGAGTTTCTCAGGTAACAAGTAATCAAGAAGGGATGAGCAGTCCGAGATGGATAAGTACTCAAGATGAGGAATGTTGGTGTTCTTGACATTCTCCTGGTGCATTTTTGAAGAAGTAGAGGCATCCTCTCTGTCATTCAACAAATGCCGCAATTCCGTACAATTCCTTATCCCAAGCTTTTTCAGAGATGAAGGTAACTGACTTCTTGCAATGAATGTTAAAGAATTGCACCTTTCAATTTCCAAGCATTCAAGGGATGCCATGTTGTGCTTCATTACATCAGGCAGGAATGTTAGGGCATTGCAGTCTCTGATAAGTAGCTCCCTGAGGGAGGTGAAGGTATACATCCCTTGCGGTAACGGTATGAAATCTTCACAGCTGACAATTTTTAGAGAGTTTACTGTCTCAAAGCCTGGCATTGACCAATTTTCAAATGCTGAAACCTTAGAAAGGGTCACAGACTTTAGTGACTTGAAGTCAATTAGACTACTGAATACCATCTTTTGGCATCTATCTATGTCTAATTCACACAGCAGGGGAAGGCTTGGGAATGAAACTACAAACTGAGCACAATTATGAATCATAAGTTTCACCAGCGAAGGAAGATGGTCAGGTAATCTTTCTGAGAGCTTTGGGCAGTTTATAATCAATAACTTGCGGAGTTGAGGATGCACTTTAACATGTTCACTGTCTCTGATGGGATTCCAGTACTGCCATTCCTGCAAATTCTTAAAAAAAAGAGTCTCGAGTGATTGAAAAGGTTTTGAGTAACCCTTTCCATACATCTCAGAACCTATGATTTTCAGTCTTGGAATCCCTGTGATGGTAAGGTCTTTGAGTGAGCTCAATAGTCCGAGTGAAGGCAAAGATGTGCATCTTTCACACCTTTCCAATCTTAGGACTACTATCTTTGAGAATGATGGATCTTCTATCCAAGTTGAAAATCTTGAGCCACCATAGCATTTAATTGTGAGTTCTTTTAGATTTTTATGAGGTCGTAACATGTCAAGTACATTTTTTTCTGCCACCTCATCACGCGACTCATTGAATAGAGAACTCCATTCTAACAACAACACTTCTAAACCCTTCTTATCACTTAATATGGCTTCGCTACTGATGTCATGAGAATCAGTCACGTTCTCTAATCTTGAGATGCAAAGTTCCCCTCGAAGATACTTTAAGTTCTTCAGATCTTTCAAACCACATCTAGATCCAATATTCTTACCCACAACAAAGTTAGACAATGTTTGTAGCCATTTCAAATCTTTGATTCCCAGTGGAATGTCCTGTATTAAGTTTGAATCTCTCATATCAAGATGGCGTAGTTTGACCAGGTTCCCTATGTTGGAAGGCAGCTTTAAGAGATGACAACAATATCTTAACATCAGAATTTGCAAGTTTAATAGTGAAGTTACTGAGTCTGGTAAAACTCTAATCTCAGTACCAGAAAGATCAAGATACCTCAGATGCCTCAAACTTTGTATTGAATTGGGTAGTTCAGAGATATAGTAATTTTTTAAAGACAACACCCTCAGTTTTTTTAATTTCGGCAATAAATCAGAAACAACCATATTGGTTACATAGCAACTATCAGAATGCTGATTTATTGCCAGGAATGTTCTTAAGCACTCAACTTGGTGAAAGATTTCAAATTTATTTTTTCCATCATATCGACCACAAGTATAAGAACAATGACGAGCTCTTTCAAAACCTTTCGGCAGCTTAACTACTCCAAATTCATCCTCCAATCTAAAACTCGTTTCTCCAAATACCCATTGGGCCAAATCATTAATAAGGTCATGCATTATAAATTTGGAACTTTTACTATTCGATGATTGAAAAATTGACCTTGATAGTAAATCCCGGAAATACTCACCACCAACATCTTCCATTTGCTTGTCATCGTTTTGCTCTTGAATAAGATCTTCTGCCATCCATAAATGAATAAGCTCTGTCTCCTCAAATTCATAATCCTTTGGAAAAATTGCACAATAAGAAAAACATCTCTTTAGATGTGAAGGAAGATGATGGTAGCTTAATCTCAACACCGGAAGGATGTCACTTTCATCTGGTAAATTCCAGATTTTGCTATTCAGTACGTCTTGCCACTCATCATCTCTTTGCTTAGAACGCAGAAGGCCACCAAGAGTCCTTGCAGCTAGGGGTAAACCTCTACACTTTTCAACAACTTGCTCACGAATTAATTCCAAATTTCACTGTGTACCAATATCTTTGCTCCCAAATGCATGTTTCACAAACACTGACCAACAATCATCATTTGATAGGAGTTGCAAGCTATAGTATTGAACAGGCTCTATTGTTAACGCAACATCTACACTCCGAGTTGTCACAATTATCTTACTTCCAGGTGCTCCCGCCATAAACGGTGACTTCAAGGCTTCCCACAAACCATAATTCCCAAACATCATCTGACACAAGCAAGAATCTTTTTCCAGATAATTCTTGTTTCAATCGAACCTGCACTGGATTTAAATCCTTTAAATCACAAGGTGAAAGATCAATCGACTCAAGAATCGCCTTTGAAATTCTCAAAGCATCAAAGTCATTAGAAACACAAACCCATGCTTTTAGTTTGAAACGTTCCTTTAGCGTCTCATCATTATACACAAGTTGAGCAAGCGTTGTTTTCCCAATTCCTCCCATGCCAACAATTGGTATAACATGAAAGTTGGCATTACCTGGTCCATCCTTCAACACCATTTCATGAATCTTAGCTTTATCTCCATCTCTCCCACAAACATCAAGCTCAGTTGGCAAACATGTGCTAGGTGGTCTTTGGAACACGGCAGTTGAAGATGTCCCTCCAGCAATAACTTGCAATCCAAATTCAGTTCTTTGTGCACAGAGTTCTCCCAAGCGGCTTGTAATACCACTTATCTTAAACTCCATGCCAACATTAAACTTCGCAGCACATGGACTCAAACAATTAAAGCAAGCAGGGATGATTTTGGAAATCTTGAAAGTACTAGTATAATGTTCAGATATCAACTTACGGTGCAAAGCTTCAGTGGCTTAGTCATCCAATACGTCTTCTAAATCGTAACCAAAGTGTCGGAGCTCATCCAGCCAAGTTTTAACAGCCCTGTCTATCAGCTGTTTCTCCTCTGCATCAGTAAGCACAGCCTGAATCGTCGACAGCTTTTTCTTCCACTTCTTCAGCTTTGGACGGATCCCCACTTGATCGGCAAACTCCCGCACCTCACTGGATGCCAGTTTTGTGAACAAAACCGAAATGAAGGCTGCGAGAAAGACCTGTTCCACATTAACCATGGTTTCGTCTGTTGAATGAGAGAAATGAGAACGATCTCGCAAAGACAAAGTATGAATCGGATATCTGTTGACAATGTCAATGAAACATAAAACAATTAATTTATGTGTAGTAATAGTCAATGGAGTTGTTAAACCGTGACAAAAGAACCGTGTGGACTCCATTTGTTTACAAAATGTTCAAACTGACTTGGTCACCAAGTTGGCCAAGCATGCAGTTATCTATTTCATAATATTAATGAACAATGAACAAGACATTGTTGGTTTTTGGGCCTAAAAACCTTATTGAAGAAAAGGATTCCCTTTCTTATAAACCAGATAGTTTGAGATTAAGCCCATATTGTGGGTCATGCTTTGAATGGTTAATCACTCGGTTCATCTGAGCTGACTCTGATACCACTTGTTAGTTTTTTAGCCTAATTGCTTACTCAAAATGCCTTATTGAATGGGAAGATTATTCCCTTTTATAAACCAAATGGCTTGGCTTGAGTGCGTCTAGTCGATATGAGATCTCTAACAAACATCCATTGCTATAGTGCCAATCATCCATAATTTGCAAAAAAAAGATTAGTGGTGCAAATGTATGATAGGAAGAACGGGAGGAGGGAGAGCAAATACATTCATAATAAAGATGGAAAAAGCTTCCACTAAGAAATCTAAATACCATCTAAACTAGCAGTCTAGCACATTATACAAAGTCCTAATCCGATTCTAGTTTTTCATTATGGAATTGTGTTTCAAAAATAATTTTCGAAAACTTAAATACAATTCAAATTTTTGAGCTCTATTTTAATATTTTTAATATTTGAAAATGTGTCTGATATAAAATTTAAAAACTGTTTTTTAGATTAAAAGCTGTAAAAAACTTTAAAACCGATTCTAGTTTTTCATTATGGAAGATTTCCTCCTTAGGGGATCCTCTGTTTCTCCACAAAATTTTTAATGATATATGAACCATTCATAATTTACAGAAAAAATTAGTGCTGCAAATGTATAGTAACAAAGAAAATGTAAGTTACCAGTAATCGCAGAACAATAAAGTTGCCTTATTAACATACCATCTGATAAAAAAAATTTAAAAAAAAATGAAAATGAACAACAGATTGTTTTACATTATTAAGACAAACACAAAAACAGACAATATTCCATCACAAGTGCATTGATAATTTATCCTAGCTCTGCCTCACCAATAAGATAGGCCTGCATAAACAAACAATAATAAGATACTTAAACTACAGATTATGGATTAAAATATAAGATATGAATCGTTGCTATTAATTTCAAAGTCGAAGAGAAGTGAGAAAATTAGAAACAACACATGGTTGAAGAGATCACCAGTACACATGGTTGAAGAGATCACTTTGTATCCAGATCACACATTTAAGCTGATGATCTCTTATAGCACAACTCTTTACAAAGACAAAGTAATACAAACATGTACAGTGTCATGTCAAAATAAGAAGAACCAATAAAAAAGAATCTTATAATTGATACACATACAATCAACCACTCATGGGACATCACATTAGCACATTTGACATGCACATTACTGACTCTCACTAAACTGCCTTCCAGCGGATGGATGAACAAACTTGATAGAGAAACAAGTTAGATTTAGCACAAGTGCCCTCCCATTTTTATTATATTCAGCTGTCAAATTTCTGATACAACAAGTTATTATATTTGGACAAATTTGAGTAAGGTAAAGAGTTATGAGAGACATGGGTGGAGAGTTTTCTATACAAGGAAGCTATTTGTGATCATGAATATAGCTGTTATACAATATATGATTGTTTTAAACAAAACTAGAGTAACTTGGGAAAATGGAGTCAAGTAGTGAACTCCTCGTTTACTGGAAAACTTGTATATTAATACATTCTAAATAAAGTATTAACCAAATCTTTTACTGTTGTTCTCTCTCAATCTCCTCCATTCAACTTTAAAATTGATTTGATTGTACCGGTATATCTTTTGACAGCAACACCGTTTAGTTAATTCAAATACTCTAAATTTGAACTGAACAAGAATACAAGAATATAAACCAATAAATCAACCGAAAATAAAAGTTGCATGTAAATACTTGTAATGTACGTAACTCAACACCTGAAAGTAAATCAAATTTGAGAGAGTTTTGAGGGAGTTATATATACTGCTACTGCCCTCCCATTTTTATTATATTCAGCTGTCAAATTTCTGATACAAGTTATTATATTCATTCAACTTAGTCAGCATTTCCAGAGGAGAGTTCAATCAACATATTAGAATTGATAAATTAAAATGAAAACAACCCCTAAAAAGGACTAATAGAATATATCATCATGAAAATTAAAAAACCAAACTACATTCCTAAGCCAGCAACAAAAACAAGCAGACATATAATTGCCAAAGGGCTATCCATCATAAGTGAATGCATAGAGACAAATGAAAAAGGAAAACAGAGTCTTTTACTAGTTGTGTTCCTCTCATAAAACATTGTGAAAGCATGTGATTCATTCGAGTAGAGTAACACATTATTCACTAAAATCAAAAGGTTTGAGTGTAAATAACAAAACTTGTTTTGGAATAAACTTGTGATATAGAGTCACATTCCCTCCGATTTGCAAGCAGAGCATTTCTGGATGTTTCACTTAGTAATCAAGTTCTTAATATCAAACTAATCAGTGGTCAAATCTATCAAAATAAGTCTCTAAGTAGATGTTCCAGTAACTAACATATAAAACANTCAAAATGCTTTATTGAATGGGAAGATTATTCCCTTTTATAAATCAAATGGCTTGGTTTGAGTGTGTCTAGTCGATATGGGATATCTAACAAACATCCATTGCTAGAGTGCCAATCATCCATAATTTGCAAAAAAAGATTAGTGGTGCAAATGTATGATAGGAAGAACGGGAGGAGGGAGAGCAAATACATTCATAATAAAGATGGAAAAAGCTTCCACTAAGAAATCTAAATACCATCTAAACTAGCAGTCTAGCACATTATACAAAGTCCTAATCCCCTGCCATTTGTATTATATTTGTGTATGTTGAAGTCTGGGCTCATAGAAACTTCTTATATTTGATTTGTGTTTCAAAAATAATTTTTGAAAACTTAAATACTATTCAAATTTTTGAGCTCTATTTCAATATTTTTAATATTTGAAAATGTGTCTGATATAAAATTTAAAAACTGTTTTTTAGATTAAAAGCTGTAAAAAACTTTAAAACCAATTCTAGTTTTTCATTATGGAAGATTCCTGCTTAGGGATTCCTTTGTTTCTCCACAAAATTTTTAATGATATATGAACCATTCATAATTTACAGAAAAAATTAGTGTTGCAAATGTACAGTAACAAAGAAAACGTGAAGTTACCAGTAATTGCAGAACAGTAAAGTTGTCTTATTAACATACCATCTGATAAAAAAATTAAAAAAAAAATGAAAATGAACAACAGAGTGTTTTACATTATTAAGACAAACACAAAAATAGACAATACAAGTGCACTGTTAACTTATTCATCAAATAGAAAAACTGACAGACATCAACCATTAGTAGTTGCCTTATTCCAGTTGAAGTTCATATCCTAGCTCTACGTCTCCAATAAGATAGGCCTGCATAAACAGACAATAATAAGATAGTTAAATTACATCGTTGCTATTAATTTCAAAGTCGCAGAGAGGTGAGAAAATTTGAAACAACACATGGTTGAAGAGATCACTATGTATCCAGATCACACATTTAAGGTGATGATCTCTTATAGCACAACTCTTTACAAAGAGAAAGTAATACTAAACATGTACAGTGTCATGTCCAAATAATAAGAGCCAATAAAAAATAAAAAATCTTATAATTGATACACATACAATCAACCACTCATGGGACATCACATTAGCTCATGTTACATGCACATTACAGAGTGTCACTAAACCTCCTTCCAAGGATGGATGAACAAACTTGATAGAGAAACAAGACAGAAGTGCCCTCGCATTTTTATTATATTCAGCTATCAAATTTCTGATACAAGACGTTATTATATTCATTCAAGTTAATCAGCATTTCCAGTGGAGAGTTCAATTAACATATTAGAATTGATAACTCAAATTATCATCAGATAAATTAATATCATCAGAAAAATTAACAAACCAAACTACATTCCTAATCCATCAACAAAAACAAGCAGACATATAATTGTCAAAGCGCTATCCATCAAAAGTGAATGCATAGATAGAAATGAAAAAGGAAAACAGAGCCTTTTTACATTATTAGAAAAAAAAAAAAAAAAAAAGACATTAGATATTACTGGTTGTGGTTCTCTCATAAAACACTGTGAAAGCATGTAAATCAAAAGGTTTGACTGCAAATAACAGAACTTTATAGAATCAAATTCCCTCCAATTTTCAAGCCAGAGCATTTCTGGATATTTCACTTATTAATTAACTTCTTAGAATCAAACTAATCAGTGGTCAAATCTATCAAAATAAGTCTCTAAGTAGATGTTCCAGTAACTAACATATAAAACAAAAATTCAATTCAAGAGGAAACAGCATTTATTAAGATTACCCAAAAAAAAAAAAAAAAAAATTCAGAAAATGACAACCTTACCTTAAAGAAGTTGTGAACTCCGATCTATTAGTCAGAAGTTGCACTCGTCCAATTGAACATTTTACGGATGAAATTAATTACTCCCACGAGAAAGGCCTGCATAAAAAAAGCAATAATAAGATAATAATATAGATTATAGATTGAAACAATGTATGGATTGTTGCTATATATCCCTAAATCATACAAATTATGAATGACAACAGTTTAGAAACTGACAACCCTACCTTAAAGAAGTTGGGAGCTCCGAAATATTCCTCAGTAGTCGAGGGGTCATCTTCACTATCGGACAGTATATTGCACTCATCTACCTCTGCTTTGAGGCTAGTTATTTCAAATAGATGAGGAGATAAAATGTTATTTAGTAAGAAAGAGCGCATATTGAGATGAAAATTAAAAATATGAATCGTTCCAGAAAATGGCAACCTTACCGCCGTATTGGTTTATAGTCAAATTCTTCTCCGCAATGCATCTTACATCCATCTACCTCTGTGTTGCAATACGGCGAGAGGCTTGGGAACGAAACCTCTAACTGTGCACATTCCTGAATTCTAAGTTTCTCCAANTATCATGTTAACCTAAACTGAAAAATAATAATAATACTAAGATATCAATTGAAGATGGTGGCGGGTATATTGTTTTATCTTGTTTTGTGGTAGGTTTATTATATTAACCTAAACCTAAATAATATTAATAATATTATTGAGATATCAATTGAGCGGCGGGTTTATAGTTTTTATCCTTTTTTATTAATCACTAGTGTATATCTTCATATTAGTAGACCTAATTTACATTATGGAGTAATAGAAAATGTTGATATTACCCATGCTAGAATCCAGCTGTGACTATTGATAATTGTCAAGGTTTTAAAACCCAACCCAAGGACTGACTCTGGTTCGGTCATCGGGTTGGTCAGTCGAACCGGTTTATGCGGATGTCAGTGTGATGATGTCATTCTAACGTCAACATGACATATAAAATGACGCAGCGAGTTAGCATAAATAGACAAGGGTAGCACTCGGCCACACCTTTAGAACTAATAAACAAGTCTCAATCCAGAAACTTAAACTATGAAATCTAAAGAAAAATCTAAATAATGCATTGAATGGTCTCCAAAACGAAAATTAAGTTTATATAGGGTGACAATCAACCCTAATAAGACTCCTAATAATAAAAGGAAACAAAAACTAAATCAATTAAAACAAGAAAATCCGAAATAAAATCGAAAAAAACATGCAAATAACTAAAAACCCATCCGAACACACACCAAAACGGTGGATTTTGACCTCAAAAATGACCTCCGACTAGCTAAAGCTGGTTCCCACGATGACGGGCTCGAAATAAGCTTTCCAACGGTATCTTATAGGCTCCGTAACTCTTCCCGGATCAAAAATTATGGTCATTTGAATGGGGCATGCTCATTTAAGCCCTTTGGGCTTTACGCATGGACTCTGACGTTCACCATTCTCCATGAATTCATCCGCTAGACATTCTATGTCATAAAAAAAAATAAAATACAAGATGTTCAATTGCCGGGTTGAACCGGTGGTTCGTAACAAAAAATTCAGTCCAACCGCGGTTCAAACTGGGTCATTTAATATTTCCAGTTTTTTAGTCGAATCGACTCCGCTTGATCACCGATTCTCGATTCAACTGGTTGAACCGACCGATCGGTCTGGGCCGTGTTTTTAAAACCTTGACAATTGCAGCTGGATTTCGATGGATGTGTCCAATTGAAAGGACTTTAAGAACTTATAAATCTTATGTAAGGAATTAAGTAAGACTTGAAGGCTCTATTGCCAAGGCATACATTGTTAATGAGTTGATATTATGTTCAATGTATCTTTATGATATTGGACCGAATTCAACCGACCAGAGTGTAATTCAGATGAATTTAGTTTTGATATTGAGAAACGGGAATAAATTGACTTATTAATTAATAAAAATTAATCATATTTTTTAAGATTAATTTAATATTTAACCATTCAAACAATTTGATTTCTTCCCATTTTACCATAACGCAAGTTGATGATCTAATATATATATCCACCACAACTTTACCAAAAAGTCTAAATAAAAAAGCAGCACTTTGTTAGTTGGACTTAGAGGACTCTGTATTGAAATGATTAACAAATGAAAGAAAAAAACATTCCTCACTTTTATCATTTGCCTTCACACTATTATATTTTCATTATTAATAAGATATATACAGAATAAAAGATACATGATCATAACTTAGAGTTTCATATCCTTATGAAAACAATTTTCTTTTTTCTTTTTTTCAACCACTACAAAAATAGGATATCATAAATTATATGTCCTAAATTTTCAAAATATTTCTTTTAAAAAAAAAATAAAAAGCTTATGACAGAGGTGTATGAATGTTTATGATTACCCTAAACAAGTAATAGTGACAGTAATAAATCAACACTCATAAACATTTAATACTTGTAATTACTGTACCTTAACACATTAAGTAAATAGAAGCAGAATTCCACCAAATTTCAAAACTAAGGTTGTTAAACTGAGCGATATAAGAGAACTTCTAAAGAGGGATCAAGAGAGAAATTTAAGAAAAAGAAAAATTACTATCAACACAAAATCACCATGACCGGAAGAAGATGGCCTTCATCAACTTAATTGATAAATGGTCAAGTATTGAACTCCTCATTTACTGGAAAACTTATATATTAATACATTCTAAATAGTATTAACCAATCTTTTACTCTTGTTCTCTCTCAATCTCCTCATTCTACTTTAAAATTGATTTGATTGTACTGGTATGTCTTTTAACAGCAACACCGTTTAGTTAATTCAAATACTCTACTAAAATTGATTAATAGCTTCTCTAATTTGAACTAAACAAAAATGCAAGATATAAACCAATAAATCAACCGAAAATAAAAAGTAAAGTTGCATGTAATACTTGTAATGTACGTACCTCAACAACTGAAAGTAAATCAAATTTGAGAGAGTTTTTGAGGGAGATCTAGAGATTTGTGAGAGAAATGAGTGAGCTGAGAGTTTATAAGGAGGAGTGAAAGGAAATAAAGTCATGAAGTAACCGTAACTTGTCCATTAAAATCAAACCCACACATGTAAATGTGCTAATTATTATCAATAATGAGTAATATAATAGATTGTGTAATTAATGGAAAAAATACAAGTGATAGTGTTCAACAACTGTGGGGTGGAATTGGCAGAATTCTGCTTCTCTATTGATCACTATGGTAGACCCACCCCAAGTGAGTTTTGGGACAGAGTGTTTATAGTCCATCATGATTCCTTGAAACCACATTGTTGATGTGTTTAAGGTAGAAAAACCAAAACAAAACCCCCACAGTGTGACTACTCGTGGGGTGCGAGGGCCCCAGTCAAGCCAACCCATTGGAAAATTGGCCATCAAGTGTTGATGTGATTTAAGTAAAACCAAAACAAAAAGACACCCACAGGTGCTACTCGTGTGGTTGAGGGTCCTAGTCAAGCCAACCCATTGGAAAATTGGCGTGGATTATTGTTCATTCATTTAACTTTTGAAATTGTTACTGCTTTTCACATGGAGAGACTAGTTTGGCCTGTTTCTTAGAATTTCTCTCCTTGGTGTAAGCGCGTGGTGAGAGAGGAGAAATGATTGAGGTTTGCTAAGAGAGGTGGAAACATCTAAGAAATTTCCTGCACAAGGTCCTCTGCTTTTCCACAAATGTTTCATTCATAATTTGCAGAAAAAAGAATATAGCTGCAAATTTATAGTAATAAGTTCCCAAACCAAAATAAGCAACTAAAGTTATGAAATTAATGAAAAAGAAGAATAATAGGGTGCGTTGTTTCGGGGCATAAACGATAACACCAATTATCTATCTTATTTTCCAGAAATTACTAGGTTTAGGTATCAAGTGAATAAGATTATCATAAACTTTCAATGTCATAGTGGCTTGTGGGTGAAACGGGGGTAATTCAATTACCATCTGGGAGGGTGTTATTTTTCCATTATCGTGGTAAACTATCATACCAATTTTACCCTTAATTAATAAACATTTTGAACACAAAGTGGATCTGACCGAAAACGCCATATGGGTGCAAGGTCAACCAAATCCAGTTGATTTGCATTGTTTGACGACTGTCGCTGTGGCCAACTGTGGTTAATAATATAACAAGGAAGGGCAATTAAGTAAAAAATCATCGATAATATTTTATTCCTCCAAATCTAACATATTAATTATTACAAGTATTTAACTTGCCGAATGTTAAAAGAAATTTCCTAACGTTTATCAGAACTGATTTAATTTGGAAGACAAGGTTATGCAACATTAAGTGGACAAAGATGTAATGAGGAGTAGGATTATATATCTTATACATGTCTAAAATTAAACTGAACTAAATACAAGGAATAGTATTTAAATACTTGTAATCTACGTATCTAAACAGCTGAAAATAGATCAAATTTGAGAGAGTTTGAGTGAGGTAGAGAGTTATAGAGAAATGATGGAGAGTTTTCTATATAAGCACCTACAACAAAAGGACTTTTAGCATACGAATTTTTTTTGCTAAAAACCTAGAATTTTGCGATATACGTTTAGCACGAAGAAAATCGTCGCCATGATCGTGCGCGGTAGGCATGTCCGCTTGATTTTAGGTGACAATTTGTTAAAATTCGTCGCTAAATTTGGCGACAAACAAAAAATTGTCGCCTATACTGTTTCGTCGCTAAATCTAATTACCGGTGAAATTAAATGTCATCGCCTAAAGTTAATACGGTGTACTCTATATTGTGTCACCTACTTTATACCGCGACGAGATGTGTTTTTGTCGCTTATATTACCACGACAAAATATGAATTTTGCTCGCCTAATATACCGCGATGAAATGTGCATTTTTGTTGCATAAAGTTAATAACGACATTATAATTTTATGCGTCGCTTAAAATATACAGCGCACAAATGTGACGTTTTGTTGCCTAACCATTTATACGATAAAATATGAGTTGTTGTCACCTAAAGTTAATAACGACGTAATCTCTATATGTGTCGTTTAAAGTATAACATGACGTACTTTATATTTTGTCACTTGAAACTATTAGCGATGAAACGTAAAAGTCATCAACAAAACTTTTCAACTTGAATGTATTTCATAGCTAAAAGTCTACAACTTCGAAATATAATTGTGGTCGCCCATTATAATAAATTATCTTAGACATTTTAAAATTATTTGTAAACGTAAACATCAATTTGTAAATGTAATATTCAATCAAACAAATATATCGAACCATATATATTATAGAACTATAATATGTTTGTTTTAAATAAAACAAAAATATATAGTTGACTAATTTCTAATGTTCAACAAAAAGTGGACAAATAAAACTCAAATTGTTGCAGGTGGTGGAGGATCCGGTGGAAATTGGCCTGAAAATATTTGTGAGCCATTAATCGAGAACCCTATTCATTGAGATGAACTGCTGCATCTTCTCCATCGTTGCCTATATTGGTAAATTCTTCCCTTATGCCTCATATTCTTGCACCTCCTCATGCAGTGTGTAAGTTCCTCTAAAACATCTTGATCGGCTCGCCTTCTAGTTTTCGAAGATGCAGTGGTTTTGGACCATAACCTAATCCACGATATAACCAGTTTTTTTCCTAAAACCTTTGAGTGATCTCTAATTGAGTAGGTGGTTAGAACCTTCAGGCTCCTGATGAGATAGTTCTCCATTTGTTCCTACAAAAATAATATATATGTGATAAGCACGAATATATAATAATAAAAACAATTTATTTATAAATTAAATAAGGTATTAGGTTATAATATAAATATAATAAACTTTTATACAAAATAATAAAAAAAAAAATACACTACATATACTTATATTGAACCTTAGCTTCACATTTTCCAAGTATTTCTTTTACTAAAATGAGTGTCATGGAATAATGCACCTCCCCTTGGAGCTGGCTTTCGGAAGATCCTAATTCAAAAAATAACAATAAAAGACAATTAATATTCAAAAATAAACAAATAAATAACAATTACAATATACATTTTAAATTAAAATTCTCAAATAAATATTTCAAACCTCTGAATATTTTGTTCATGTGAGAAGTATTCATGCTTGGTGTCGATTTTTTTTTTTACCCTTGTTCCTATTTATTGAACTCTAACATGGATAAATAATAAATATCAGTTTTGGCTAGCTAATCATGCGTGGATAGTTTTATAAAGCTAAACTAGTTAGTCTAATACTTGAAAAATTGTGTTCATGAAAATTTATTACATAAATTGTGAGAGGCAAGTGTAGCTTGAAAAAATGCCTGTTTCGGGGACTAGCTACTAATAAGTTCAGATTTCCAACCATGAAAGGGAGCCATCTCTATCTCTATATAGGGTTCCGGCCTAGAAACATACTAAAAAAATGCCAATCTAGTGGAAAGTGGAATTAACCTAGGTTTGCAAAACTTATGCTGCAAGTGAGTCACCAATAATAAAAAACAAAAATAACAATGATACGTTTCTGACCTCTAATTTCTCCAATCAAGAATCAAGTTTATACTCTATCAATTATCTAGCTACTATAGTGAAATCATTACAAAACTACAATGTTAAAACAATGAATTTAATCCATAAATGGAAATTAAAATGCACAATTTTCTTAAAATAATTACAAATCCCTAATCAATTACAAATAAAACAAATCATCAAAAAGAGATTTTAGCTACTAAAAATAATCAAATTACCAAACACCATGTTGAAACTATGGATTGAATCCAGCGGAAAAAAAAATTGAAGAATTAAAATTCCAGATTTTTTTGAAACGAAATAAAATTTATGTTTACCTTAATTTGCTGGTTTCCCTACCAACCTTGACAATGCAGATTGGTGCCTTAATGAATTGAAGTGCCACTGAGAGAGAGAGAGAAAAAGGGGAGTCTGACATAAAAATGTGATTGAAGCGCCACGAGAGAAGAGGGAGAGAGGAGAGTTTGAGATAATATGTGGAGGGAAAAATTGGAGGAAGATAATTTATAATGGCGCTAGTACTTGTAACTTCCCTTTTAAATTTTAATAAAGAGATCATGATCTATATAGCGCAGGTTTATGGGCATTGTGATTTGTTGGCTGCTTATAAAACGAAGAAACTTTAAGTTTTCCAAATCCTTCAAATCAGAGCCTACACCTTTGCCTACAATAAAATTGAGTAATGTTCTAAGACTTTCCATTTCTTTCATTCTTGATGGCATTTGTCTAAGTAAATTGACACCAATAATATCAAGATGCCATAAATTGATCAGTTTCCTCAAATTGGAAGGCAACTCAATGAGATGAGAGCAATCCATCAATAGCAAAATTTGCAAGATGAGTAGTGAACATATTGAATCAGGTAACGTTCTGATCATAGTGCCAGAGAGGTTGACATATCTTAGATATCTCAAACATTTAACTGAATTGGGTAACTTCGTAATACTATGCTTCGCCAAAGATAACGCCCTCAAGTGTTTGAACTTTGGTAGCAAATCAGAAAGAAGTGCATCAGTGATGTGATGACTGTCATCATTACATAGGAGTCCTGGCATAAATGTCCGTATGTTGTCAACATCATAGAAAAATTCAAATTCATTTTTCTCATCACCTTCTGGTTGCTCATTGACCCCCGACGCATCTTCTAATCCGAAATTTGTTTCTCCATGAATCCATCGGGCCATAGTTTTCACAAGGTCATGCATTCTATATTTAGAAGCATGACTACTTGAATGTTCAAGAAGAGATCTTTCCAATAGATCTTGGAAAATCTTACTGCCTCTATCTTCCAACTGCTCACAAACCATTTGCTCATTCTCTAGTTGTCCGCCAATTAGACCTTCTGCTATCCATAGAAGAACAAGTTCCTTTTCCTCAAATTCATAATCGTCAGGTAAAATTGCACAATAAACAAAACATCTTTGTAACCATAAAGGAAGATGTTGGTAGCTTAACTTTAGCACAGGAAGAATCTCATTATCATCTGCTAAATCCCATATTTTAGTGTTCAATATACATTCCCATTCCTCATAATCCTTAAATCTTATAACGCCACCAAGAATACACGCTGCCAAGGGTAAGCCTTTACACATATGAATAACTTTTTCACGAATTAATAGTGAATAAAAACACTCCCAATCAGATGCATGCATTTCAAAGACCGACCAGCAAGCTTTATCTGACAGTACCTCTAATGTATAAGGTTGAATATTGAGATTGACTGGGAATTCAATATTTACTCTGCTGGTTGTCACTATTATCTTGCTTCCTGGTGCTCCAGCCATAAAGGAAGACTTTAGAGTTTCCCACAAACCATAATTCTCTGTCGAAACATCATCTAAGACAAACAAGAATTTCCTCCCAAAAGTTGCTTCTTTCAGTTGAACCAGCACTTCATCTAAATCCTTTAGATTGCAGGATTTACAAGTGACTGACTCTAAAATGGCCTTGGAGATTCTGAAAACATTGGAACTTTCGTAGAGGGAAACCCAGGCTCTTGGTTTGAAGTCTTCCACTGCCTTATCATCATACACAAGTCGAGCGAGTGTTGTTTTTCCAACTCCTGCTGTGCCAATGATGGGTATTACTCTAAAGTTGGCATGATCACTCACTTCATCCCTCAACACCATTTCTAGTATTTTCTCTTTATCTTTGTCTCGCCCATAAATAGTTTTGGTTATGGAACCAGGCGCAGACTGTAATTCGCGTGTACCAAGCACATATAGTCGAAGTGCATCTCTTTTGGCATCGAGTTTTTCCAATCGGCTAGTTATATCAATTATTCTGGAAATCAGACTCTCATCAAACGGTGCAACAGCCCTTGTATTCGAACTTGTGAAACAAGCAGGAATGAGGCCGTTTAATGAACTTTTCTTGCCCATGGAAGTCTGAGTTTGAGCCATCATTTTGAGGCGCGAAGCTTGTTTCGAAATCTCATCCAGTATCTCCTCCACATCATCTGCCAACTCTTTGACGTCGTCTAGCCACATTTTCACTTCCACGTCCGACATTAGTCTCTTGTTCTCCTCTCTGTTGATAGCTTTCATAAAAATCTGTAACACTGTAGTCCACCGGTTTATCTTTAAAAATAGGCCGTTTTGCCCTGCAACTGCTGCAAGTTGCTTCAACTCTGGGGACGGCTCTTGCAGTGTGTTCACTAACCTAGTGAGAAGCGCACTGAGTTGCGGATCCATGAATTTCCGGTAGAACTGTCAGAGAAAGAGAGGAGTATGAAAAAGACAGAGTGAGAAACTATATATTCATCTTCACGTATGCTTTAAAAATTGCAAAGCTGCTGATACTCTGCCCTCAAAACGTATGTACATACAACATTAATTTGTTTCCTTGTTACGACATTTGTAAGGATAAATTTTATTTGATTGATTGTTTGGTTAAAATTTCAAATAAATTCTGAAAGTAGATAAATATGTTAATAATTATACTACACTTCATAAATGATGTTAAGATGGATGCTGATAAACGTACATACATCAAAATGTAAAAATGAATCCAAAAACAAATTTATTAAAAAAAAAAAAAAAAGCACATTTTATAATGCAAAGTCATGATATTATAAAAATTAGTAACTACCAGTAACAACTTGCACGGAAACGGGAATAAATTGACTTATTTAATTAATAAAAAATTAATCATATATTTTTTAAGATTAATTTAATATTTAACCATTCAAACAATTTGATTTCTTCCCATTTTACCATAACGCAAGTTGATGATCTATATATATATATCCACCACAACTTTACCAAAAAGTCTAAATAAAAAAGAAGCACTTTGTTAGTTGGACTTAGAGGACTCTAGTATTGAAATGATTAACAAATGAAAAGAAAAAAACATTCCTCACTTTTATCATTTGCCTTCATCACTATTATATTTTCATTATTAATAAGATATATACAGAATAAAAGATACATGATCATAACTTAAGAATTTCATATGCCTTATGAAAACAATTTTCTTTTTTCTTTTTTTTTCAACCACTACAAGATATAGGAATATCATAAAATTATATGTCCTAAAATTTTCAAAATATTTCTTTTAAGAAAAAAAAAATAAAAAAGCTTATGACAGAGGGTGTAAGTGAATGTTTATGATTACCCTAAAACAAGTAATAGTGACAGTAATAAATCAACACTCATAAACATTTAATACTTGTAATTACTGTACCTTAACACAATTAAGTAAATAGAAGCAGAGATTCCACCAAAATTTCAAAACTAAGGTTGTTAAGACTGAGCGAATATAAGAGAACTTCTAAAAGAGGGATCAAGAGAGAAATTTTTAGAAAAAGAAAAATTAACTATCGCAGACACAAAAATAACCATGACCGGAAGAAGATGGACTTCATCAACTTAATTGATAAATGGAGTCAAGTAGTGAAACTCCTCATTTACTGGAAAACTTATATATTAATACATTCTAAATAAAGTATTAACCAAATCTTTTACTCTTGTTCTCTCTCAATCTCCTCCATTCTACTTTAAAATTGATTTGATTGTACTGGTATGTCTTTTAACAGCAACACCGTTTAGTTAATTCAAATACTCTACTAAAATTGATTAATAGCTTCTCTAAATTTGAACTAAACAAAAATGCAAGAATATAAACCAATAAATCAACCGAAAATAAAAAAAGTAAAAGTTGCATGTAAATACTTGTAATGTACGTACCTCAACAACTGAAAGTAAATCAAATTTGAGAGAGTTTTTGAGGGAGATCTAGAGAGTTGTGAGAGAAATGAGTGAGCTAGAGAGTTATAAGGAAGGAGTGAAAGGAAATAAAGTCATGAAGTAAACCGTAACTTGTCCATTAAAATCAAACCCACACATGTAAATGTGCTAATTATTATCAATTAATGAGTAATTATAATAGATTGTGTAATTAATGGAAAAAAATACAAGTAGATAGTATCAACAACTGTGGGGTGGGAATTGGCAGAAATTTCTGCTTCTCTATTGATCACTATGGTAGACCCACCCCAAGTGAGTTTTGGGACAGAGTGTTTATAGTCCATCATGATTCCTTGAAACCATCAGTGTTGATGTGATTTAAGGTAGAAAAACCAAAACAAAAAGACCCCACAGTGATGCTACTCGTGGGGTGCGAGGGCCCTAAGTCAAGCCAACCCATTGGAAAATTGGCCATCAAGTGTTGATGTGATTTGAAGTGGAAACAGCAAAACAAAAAGACACCCACAGTGATGCTACTCGTGGGGTGTGAGGGTCCTAAGTCAAGCCAACCCATTGGAAAATTGGCGTGGATTATTTGTTCATTCATTTAACTTTTGAAATTGTTACTGCTTTTCACATGGAGAGACTAGATTTTGCCTGTTTCTTAGAAATTTCTCTCCTTGGTGGTAAGCGCGCGGTGAGCGAATAAGAGAAATGATTGAGAGTTTGCTAAGAGAGGTGGAAACATCTAAGAAATTTCCTGCACAAGGTTCTCTGTTTTTCCACAAATGTTTCATTCATAATTTGCAGAAAAAAGAAATATAGCTGCAAATTTATAGTAATAAGATTCCCAAACCAAAAATAAAAGCAAGCTAAAGTTTATAGAAATTAATGAAAAAGAAGAATAACTAGGGTGCGTATGTTCCGGGGGCATAAACGATAACACCAATTATCTATCTTATTTTCCAGAAATTACTAGGTTTAGGTATCAAGTGATGAAAGATTATCATAAACTTTCAATGTCAATAGTGGCTGCTGTGGGTGAAAACGGGGGTAATTCAATTACCATCTGGGAGGGTGTTATTTTTCCATTATCGTGGTAATAAACTATTCATACCAATTTTACCCTTAATTAATAAACATTTTGAACACAAAGTGGATCTGACCGAAAACGGCCATATTGGTGCAAGGTCAACCAAATCCAGTTGATTGTGCATTGTTTTGACGACTGTCGGCTGTGGCCAACTGTGGTTAATAATATTAACAAGGAAGGGCAATTAAGTAAAAAATCATCGATAATATTTTATTCCTCCAAATCTAACATATTAATTATTACAAGTATTTAACTTGCCGAATGTTAAAAGAAATTTCCTAACAGTTTATCAGAACTGATTTAATTTGGAAGACAAGGTTATGCAACATTAAGTGGACAAAGATGTAATGAGGGAGTAGGATTATATATTCTTATACATGTCTAAAATTAAACTGAACATAAATACAAGGAATAGTATTTAAATACTTGTAATCTACGTATCTAAACACCTGAAAATAGATCAAATTTGAGAGAGTTTGAGTGAGGTAGAGAGTTATAAGAGAAATGGATGGAGAGTTTTCTATATAAGGAAGCTACTTGTGATCATGAACGTAGCTGTAATACAATATAGGATTGTTTTAAACGAAACTAGAGTAACTTGGGAAAATGGAATCAAGTAGTGAACTCCTCGTTTACTGGAAAACTTGAGGGAGCATTTGTTGTAGCATTTTGGGTAGTATTTTTGACAAAGAATGAGTTGGGTGGTAATAACGAGATAGGATTTAAAAATGAACAAAAACACCCCCTAGGTTTGTGAATTTACTAAACACCCTATAATAAAAACATTAAAAATTACAGAAACACCCTCACCCACCCAGTAAATATCGGCAGTCGACCACCGGCCAGATCCACGGCTAGATCTAGCCATTGACAGCCAGATCTAGTCACGTTTGGTCGACAATGATGTCCAAAGATATGACCATCGTTGATGGTCAAAAAGGGTCATATCTTGGCTGTCGTTGACAGTCAACAATGGCCATATCTTGGCCATCGTTGACAATTAGCTACAGCCAAAGATCTGACTGTTAACAGCCAGATCTTTGGCCATAGATCTGGCCTCTTCCGATCAGATCCACGGCGGATTTGGTCTGAAAAAGCTATATCGATGCAATATCGGCTAGATCTAGCCGGTAGTGCACCATTACACTATATTCCGGCCATCTTCCGATACTGGTGGCCGGAATGGCAAATGTGGGTGGATGGAGGTGTTTTTATCAATTTTTAAACTTTTTGGGGGGTGTTTAGTTTAATTAATAAACTTAGGGGGGTTTTAAAAAATTAAAGAAAATATAATAGTATTTTTAGAATCAGGAAACAAATGTGTATTTTGGAAATGATAAGCAATGTTCTGAAAACCGGACCGGACAATGACCCATTCAAGTGTCCGGTTTTTTGTTTGACCGGTTGGATCGGTTGGTTGGACCGTAATTTTTAAACTTACATTTTAGTCCTTGAAGGTTTGAAATTCATCAAAAACACCCCTATAATACTCCCTTAAGGTTTGAAATCTATCTAAAACACCCCTGTCGTGCAAAGATTCTGGTGAGTGGTGATGGCAGCGATGATCGACAGCCAATCGAAACTGGAATCTTGGGGCTTTTGATGTGTAGGTGTCGACGACTCTGATGGTGGTGCTAGAGAGTTCCATCAGCGTCGGAACTCGTCGAAATCAACAAAAGAATTCGACGTTGCGTAGACTTTAGGTGGACGGCGATCGATGAAGGCGATTGAAAATGGATGGGTTTGGTTGTGGAGATGCCGTCCGTAGAATAAGGGTGTTTTCTCCGTCGAAAGATGTCGGAATCCGGCAGGGTTTAGTTGCGATTGGACCGCGATTCGGCAGTATTCTGGCGGTCCAACCGCGGTCCAATCCGGTTTAAATCAAAATAGCAGTTTTTTATATATACCGGACCGGGTTTGCCGTTGATTGCCGATTGAATCGGTCCGATCGGGTGGTCCGGTCCGGTTTTCAGAACATTGATGATAAGAATAGGATATGACAAAAACAGGAAAATAAACGCATCCTATATATTAATGCATTCTAAATAAAGTATTAACCAAATCTTTTACTCTTGCTCTCTCTCAATCTCCTGCATTCTACTTTAAAATTGATTTGATTGTACTGGTATGTCTTTTAACAGCAACACCGTTTAGTTAATTCCAATACTCTACTAAAATTGATTAATAGCTTCTCTAAATTTGAACCGAACAAAAATACAAGAATATAAACCAATAAATCAACCGAAAATAAAAGTTGCATGTAAATACTTGTAATGTACGTACCTCAACACCTTAAAGTAAATCAAATTTGAGAGAGTTTTGAGGGAGAGCCAGAGAGTTACGAGAGAAATGGGTGGAGAGTTATTCTATATAAGGAAGGAGTGAATGGCAATAAAGTCATGAAGTAAACAGTAACTTGTCCATTAAAATCAAACCCACATTTGTAAATGTGCTAATTATTACCAATTAATGAGTAATTATAATAGATTGTGTAATTAATGAAAAAAATACAAGTAGATAGTGTCAACAACTGTGGGGTGGGAATCGGAAAAGAAAAAACTTCTGCTTCTCTATTGAATGATTGATCACTATGGTAGACCCACTCACCCACCCCATGTGAGTTTTGGGACAAAGTGTTTGTAGTCCATCATGATTCATTGAAACCATCAAGTGTTGATGTGACTTAAGGTAGAAAGAGCAAAACAAAAAGACACCCACAGTGATGCTACTCGTGGGGTGTGAGGGTCCGAAGTCAAGCCAACACATTGGTAACTTGGAGTGGTTTCTTACACTATGTTTGGCTTACTATTTTTATCCAGATTCTGGATCCTATTTTCCAAATAACGTTTGACACCTTATTCCAAGAATATTACCCTATTTTTTTAATTACTTTTAAACTCCATAAGGTTATTAATTTCATCAAATACACCCTAAAAAAAAGTTTAAAAATTATCAAAAACACCCCCATAACCCATACTCGCCAGATTCCGGCAACCACCGTCGGTGGTAGTCGAAATCTATACAACGGCCAACCTGCCGACCATAAATGGCCGGAATTTCACCGATCTGGCCTTTTCCGGCCAGATCCACCACGGATTTGGTCGAAAAAGGCCAGATCTGGCCGTGAACGATGACCAAAGAAATGGCCGTCGTTGAGGTCAACGACGGCCAAATCTTGGCCATCGTTGACCGAAAACGATGGCCAAATCTTGGCCATCGTTGACTGAAAACGACGGCCATATCTTTGGCCGTCGTTGACCGCCAAAGATGGCCGTCTTTTTGGCCTTTTTCGGCCGTCGACGGCCACGGCAAGCCGTAGATCTGACCTTTTCCGGCCAGATCTATGGTGGATCTGGCCGGAAAAGACCATAACGACTCGTTACGACATAGATCCGACCGGTCTGTGTCGTAACTCGATTTTCCGGC